CAGCCCTATAAGCAACTATCTCGACACTTACATGAGTCCAGATACTAAAGTCAACGTTTTATCTAGACCTAAGTAGAAAATCACAATTTTGACATAGCCGAACTTGATTCGACTAAGTGGTTTGCGAAGTCCCGTGGATATTGGAACTCTAGGACTTAGACTCGACAACCAAACACGGGAGATCACGTAAATATCACATAAAAGATAGTTCAAACAAGTCACAACCACTACAAGAAATCCGATTTATAGCTTTTAACACAAGAACTACTTTTTTTTTAAAAAAAAAATAGAAAACGGTATATCACATAATTAGGTTTATCAAGTTCCCGTATGAGTTAGGTTCTGAAACTTTGACATAAATTCCTCCTCACTGGACTTAGTACAACCACCAAGTTTTAGCCCCAAACTCATTATACACAATTTTATAAAATTCAAATACAATATCAGCAAAAACGAGCATAAAATTCAAAGCCTGGCCTAACGAACAAATTAGAACATGAGATTTTTACTGGAGTAAGTTCAGCAGTTAAGGACCAACATATAAAATTTCAGCAATTAACATTTTATACACAAATTTTAAAAATTCATAAAATTTTCAGCAATTTTTGCATTTTAATTAAAATCGAAACAATTTGAAATCCAAAAATTCTAATCTTTTACAGCACAAAACTCCACATAAAACAAGCACTTGAGCCAAATTTCAGAATTTTTTAGCAAATGACCAATTTATCATAATTAAAACATATATCAGTAGAAAACGTAAATAAATTATTCACCATATCAATCTTAGTCAAAAAATTCTAAAAACTTTACACAGCATTTAAATCAGACAGAGAGACAATAGTAATATTTCATGAATTTTAGGGCACGGACCAATTTATTATGAATTTAACACGTTTCTGCCCAAGAATCACTTTAATTATTTAAAATAGTTACAGACCGTGAAAAATTATGAAATTTTTCACAAGCTATAAAATCAACAGAGATATACATTTAAAATTTCAAAGCAATCGGATCAGTATACAATTATTATTAATTTAACAAATTTCGGTAACAATATAGAATTCGAAAATGCATAACTCCCAACATACAAGTCAATTTGACACAAGGTCAAAACCATTGTGTCCATGACGATCCTAAGTTCCTAATCCACAGTGACTTAGTTTTAATGTGTTTTCGTTTGATTCACATGAATCGACGACGATCACACATAACACGACAATTATCATAAAGAACCGAAATAAATGTACACATTAATTCATAGAGCATGTATAATTCATAGGGCACGATTAACACATCAAATAAACACGAAAAATAACGGAAAGAAGGATCGAGTCTTTATACCGTTCTCGAGAAGCGCGAGAATGGTTCGGACGGAAGAGGACGACACAACGGGGCTC